CTTCCTGTGGTTCAGTTACATGGAACTCCCCCACTGTATGATCCCTTGTAGGTATAGAGTGACTACGAGCAAGGACCCGAGGAGGTTTTGGCAGAGGAGCTGCTTTGGGTGACACCACTGGTTTATTTGTTGCTGATTGCATTTGTCGTCTGGCCACCAAGGGAGCTGAATGACCAACTAAACCCACACGTCTTGGAGCCTTGGAGGCTACTGGTGGCCTAGGAAGCTCATGAAGTTCACTTATTTTAGGAGAGGACATAAAAGTAGGCGAAGTATTTGGAGACACTTTAGGTGAAGTTGACAGAGGTTGAGACCCTGGATTGGGCAAAATAGGTCCAGAAAACAATTGGTGCTGGACCGAGGGGGTAGGTTTGGAAGCCCATGGCTCACTTGTCAATGGACCTGAGAATGCTTGCCTTTTCATTTTTTTTAAGTCAGAGGCAACCAGTGGATCCTGCCCCAAAAACAGGACCTGACCTGGGAGAGGAGGGGGTAATCGATAAGGTGCTATAATATTGTTGCTCTCTTTGAGTACCGACGGCACATTTGTAAAATTGGTTCCAGCAACTCTCTTCTCTCCCATCTTTTCATTCCCTGGTTTCAAGGGTGATGAATGCCACAAATTCTGTGTTCGCTCACTTAAAGTTGTCTGTACAGTGTGGGGCACTGGCATACCTGATCCAGTAGAAATTGGACTCTTATCAATTGGTGTTGGTAGTACATATGAGTGGAACTTCTGTGAGAATGATGGCTGCCTCTGTCTCATTTTTTCAGCTCGATCTAAATTAGCTTCAGCAAAGAGCGGAGCTGATTGGCTGACTCCCCTGCGCTTAAATGAAAATGAATTCCTGTGGAGTCTGTCCTGGAAGTAGGTAAAACGATACAAGACATGTAAGCTACAACAAATTAGAAATGTGAAGCATTTTCAAGACAAATAAATAAACAAAAAGTCATCCACATCGGAATTTAGCATAGTAAAAAGTTTAACAGTTTCTACAACTGCATAATGGAAGTTTGACTGTTGTACATTTAGCATGTGATGGGCAGAGCTGAAAACATGCAAGAACCAAACCAGTCAACAACCATAGGTGATTACAGTATAGCCTTAAGTTATATTACCAAGACACTGTTGATTAGGTAAAAATACATGAACTTCTAAAACTAGTTATCCGCACAGAGATACCACTACAGGCATTTACCTTCATGCAATCAATCAAAAGGATATGATAGATAGATTAATTCCAATAATAGTCTTATTTTTTATGGGACCAACCCAATCCAACCATGCATTTTAAGTGCATTACAAAGTGCATGACACAAACCTGAAATATTTGAGAACAGATGAATTGATAACAGAGCAGATGTTTACCTTTAGAGCTTCCACATGTGCTACTTTGGGAAAGGTAATGTCCGCCTGATCCAACTGCATTACAGATAAGTTTCATGTCAAAATAACGTAATAATCATGACAAAATGTTTCAGCAACTTGAAGGTAAACATGACAACAAGGTCACCACGTCCACAACAATAACTACCAAAGTGGTTCGGGAATAAGATTTTTCTAGCTTACACCAATAGAAGCATTTGCCATGACAAAAGACCAAAACGAAAAATCAAACTCTGGTTATTCTTTATACTCTTTCCTTCCATATTCATCTGGATAATACACCATTATTTGCACAACAGATATATATGTCCATGTCTTGCTTATGAGTTGTATGCATGTGCCGCTGGTTCTACCAGCTCTATGTTTTATTCCATTTTAAATGCCTTTCAAGGGAACAAGTGCAGCTTAGCATAAGTAAATTCCACTGGAGTAATACCTCCATTGAGTTTCTTGAAGTAGAAACATCTTGATCCTGGTCATGTTTTTCAAAGTCAAAGCTCAATTCTCCATCATCATTCACACCCAAGCTATCATTGTCATCACTCTCATCATCATCGTTGTCACCATCCCCTTCATCATCTAGCCCATGGAACTCGTAATCAATATGCTTCTTCTCAGTTACCAATTTCACATGTGGCTCTACTGACTCAACAGACCTAAGTGCTTTCTTGAAGAAGGACAACTGTTTCAAGAGGAAAACAAAAGGAGTAAGAGCACTTTAACTAAGATGAACAACAATAAAAATGGGAGGAAACAAAAAATAAAAACCTGAGCAGCATGATGGCGAGCTGCCTGCGTGAGAAGACTACGAGATTGTCCTTGCTTCAGAGATTTCAACCGGAAAACAAATAATGTTGCCTCCTCATCATATTCATCACGAGCCAATTGTATTTGCTGCATAGAAAAGCTCTCTCCTTTCCCACCACCTCTTGACCTCCCTTTTTCTTTGTATCTCTTTATCATAAAATCATATACATCTCTGTAGATCATAAGCCATATGAGATGACATTCAACTAAAAACAGATATGCAAATATTGTTTGGAATACCTTTTTTCATCACATTGTAGTTTCATCTCCTGCATCAACATCAAAGAACAAACATCACTTTAACATTATGCAAATAATATGTGCACCCAGAAGCAATAACCCATGTAAAATTGTTAATTACATCATAGATTGGATACACTTGTGCAGAATTTGTGCACGAGAAATGCATACACAACACTTCCTATGAGCTTATTAAATGATCGAGTACAAGCACACACCTCAACTGTTTGAAGTTCATTCAGAAGAGATTCTGATGGAACTGCAATTGTCTGGAATATATGAGAGCGCTGCAGTATGCACAACAATGAAAAGTTTAGTAAAGCAAACTCAATGAAAGGTTTCATAAACTTTTTTTTACAAAAAACAATAAAGCCTCACATAGCTATCAACGAGTTTATGGAGTTCATATTGCAGTTTCCCTAGCTTCAGTAGAACTGAACCTGCAAGAGAATTGACAAGTAAAAAACGGGTTTGTTACTTTTTCTCAAATTTGATAGACCAGACAAACGTTGTGGGTGACCAGGATGCCAGAGGGGAGAAACAAAGTCCAACGGTTTGCTTACTACTTGAAGATAACTCAGAAATATCCGCATAGGGAACTTTTGATCTTACCACTTTCTTCATCATCATTTAGTGCAGTTTTCTGAAGAAGACAAGAACCCATTTCTCGCAGCGACTCCGAAAACTCTATAAACAAATTGGAAATGTATAAGAATACTATTCTTCAAATCAGCATTCTAATGATCAAATTTAGAAACCCAATTAGAGGAATGCAGAAACAAATATTATCAGCTAAAATTAATAAATGTTGTTTCATATAGAATACAGTTGATGAGCATTATAAAAGTGTACAAGTCATACAAATAAGTGTACAAGTCATACAAATAAGTTAAGAAAAATGATAATTTTATACCAACAAAAAACAAACCAAAGAAAAAAACAGAAATGGAAATACCATAAGCGCTATTAGCTGTGGCGGCAGCTGCAGAAAGTAAGCTATCATAGCAGTCCCTCATATCGTGCATATCCTGCAATCAAAAACCCAATTTTCAGATTAGGTCAACCCTCAGATCCACCACCGATTCTCAAACCTAACTAACCAACTCCGCCCTGCTTCCAAACCCTAGAATTCCAAATTTGATGAAATTTGGGGGGGTTACGCATCGAGCGTCGTAAAGTCAGAAGCTTTGGTTTTGGGTCGTCGTAATATCCGAGCAAGGAACGAAGAGGGGGACGGCGGCGTACCTTGGAAGCCTGGGCGAGCTCGTCCAATTGCGGCAGCGGCCGGAGATCCCCCCAGTCCTTGGCATCGTGCTTGTGAAGTGCGAAACCTCGCAGCTTTCTGAGAGAGGTTTTCATTTGCCCTTCCTCTTGAATTCACGGAATTAAAATTACCCCACAAGTCTCCCCAAAGCTCTGAGCTTTTCCTGCAAATGCGCGAATTCAATTCAACAGCCGATGGGAAGAAGAAGAAGAAGTTTAATACGAATGAAGGCTAAAATGTTAAGCCGGCAAATTAATAATAAAGTGGAAAATGTTTAATAAGTGCTTTATTACATCATCATCACGATTGTAATTGGGTTATGATTAATTAATTAATGTGAAAATTAGAATAATTTGTTGGTCAATTAAGGAAATTAGGACCAACGGAAAGATGAAGAAGAAGAAGAGAAGTTGGTCTATTTCTCTTGGGGTGGCGGTAAATTAACTGCTAATCCGAAAATTAAGCGAGGTTGACCATCTTTCCGTTGACTCGTCTTCTTCTACAGAAGAATAATTAAACTGGTATGAAATTATGGTGAGCGGGATTGAATCCTACCGCGTCAGTGCGTCAGCATTCGCGTTCGCTTTCGCTTTCGTTTTCTTCTTTTTTAGTTGAGACATGATTTGCACTTTTGGCACTACTCTACAATTTTACGATCATCATCAAATACCTATCCGTATTTCAATTGTTACGCCAACGTTCAATTATTAATCCATGATGTTATATGAACTTAACTTATGAATTGGACTGGTTGTGAAACTGTCATTTAGTCTCAATTTATCCTTTAAATTTTTTATTTTATGTTATTTTATTTGTTATAACTATCATTTTTAACTAATTTGGTCTTACTTCACCTCATTCCGTTTAAGAAACCTCAAATTCAAGGGTGTTTTGGATATTTCACTTTTTACACACCTATTTATCTCCAGTGTGACAACCTGATCCTAATTTTCTATTTAATTTCTCCTCGAGTGTGTAAATTGACATTTATACCCTTGTTGGCAAAGTGACGTGGATGTGATTATGCAACTTTAAATTATTTTCCTCACTATCGTAATTAAATTTTACTCGTAGTTACGATCGCATTAGCACAAATTAGACTCGAATCAGATTTGTAACAAAAAAGTTACGTTACATTAAAGTACGTTAGCAATGGGTAGAGTTGTACATGCGTGCGTTAATTATTTAGTACTGGAAATTACTGTTTCAGATAGGGTACGTTAGATTTCATCTGATTACGATTGTACAAACCCTATCTGTTTTCTTCTTTAAAATTGGACCTGTGCCTTTAAATCCCTCCCCACCAATCAAACTCTCCCCTCATTTTCCACACGCAATCAGACACCATCACTTCAAACCTCTTCTCAACCAATCAGAGAAGCTATCATTCTCTATCTCATCTTCTTCCTCTTTCTCTCACATGTACCTCCATCTTCTCTGCAACTACAAGGACCTTCATCAAACACTCACAAATCGAACTTAAAAATACCACCATCGTGATCCTCCCATCCTCACGAACCCCATAATACAAATCGATCTTTAAGTGGTTGAGTTTTGGCTCACTAACTTGGAAGCTCCGACTCAGAAGAGTTTGCTCCAACGTGATCCCAGCCGAGTTACGATATTTTGAAGGTTGTGGAAGCATCTACACAACTCCCTGGAGTCCCTAGGCTAAGTTTGAAGTGAAGACAACGTCGAGAAGCACGGTTTCAAGGAGTCGAGTTTTAAGCCAAGACTTGCGAGGCTTTTTCAGGCCATTTTTCGTCCATTTTTAGGCTTTTGAAAGGTATAGACTTGTTCTACTCCTCAAGATCTCTATTTCCATATAAACTTTGTTGAAAATGGTTAAGAAATAAGCGAGTTATGAAGGTTTGAAAATCTTCCAATTTCCAACGAAACCAGACGGCGGCACCAGCAATGGTGAGACTCATCGGAGAAAACGAGGAATATTCCGTCAAAGTTGACGGAATATTCTAACGACGTCAGGTAACGCCGTTACTATTTAATGAAATATTCAATTAATTATGACAGAATATTCCTATTGTCCGTCAGACTTCTTTCAGTCCCTGGCCTGTGCGTGGGCGCGCGTGAGGGCGCGTCCGGCCACCGGCCGGCGAGTGCTTGACATATTCGGGTCCATGATGTCGAGTATAGTGTTTTCATATATTTAAACCTTTCATTTGAGCAAAATATGAGGAGCTTTCCTAGCTTTTAGTGAAGGTGTTAATTAACTAATTATTATTAGTTGTTTCACATATAGGGGAGACTTACCTTGAGAACGTACGAGGACAAGCGAGGCTAGGGGGCTACGATCCATCTACGTATCAGTGAATGAGCCTTTTGTTTTCAAATATATATATATATATATATATATATATATATATATATATATGCTTTTAAATTGATTTATGCATATTATGCCATGATTTATTAAATTTTTAAAATGATGTTATGTGGTTGAGATTTATATATTGTCATGGCATATTCATATACATTTTACCTGCTCATCAATGTTGTTGTAAAATGCTAAAATAATCCTACAAGATGCGCATGTAAGTTCAAGTAAGTTCATATATTGATTAGAATTATTGCATCATTATGGCATGCTTATATTCATGTAGTCTACTCATCATTGCTGCACCCTGGTGTTAGTGCTCACCCCGGGCCAGGGCCAGTCCTTCACGTGTATGTTCACCTCTGCACTGCACGCTAGCCTTGGATCCAAGTAGGTGCTAGTCATGTCGTACAGGTCGTATTAGGCGACTCTGACTCGTAGGTGACCGCGATTATCGCCAGTCTTCATGTGATCGTAGCATTATAGTGTATATTAATACACCCTGTCATGTCATACAAGTCACACTAGGCGACTTCGACTTGTGTGCTAGCATAGATTGATAAGCATGCCAATCGTACAGATCACATTAGGCGAATATGACTTATGTGCTAGTATATATCAATTGAACACCTGATTTTATTTATATTACTGTTGAGATATTGTGGTGTGGCATACTACTTGATTTACTGTTGATTTATATTTGATTTCATACCTATACGTAGTATGATTTTCTGTAAACTATACATGTTTTACAGCGAGGGGTTAGTATGTTCGGAAAATAACTATGTTTTATAAACCTTTATTTTTATGCCCACTCACCCTTCTGTTTTTCGCCCCTCTAAGTCCTATATAGCTAACCTACCTTGTGGTGTGCGAGGATCAGCAGCGATTATGACATATTCCTGTTTAAATGTAGGGGACTTTTCCCGGTTGTGTACTAAGTACTTATTTAGTTTCGTCTGCACTGCTTATTTTATCTATGCTCTGAACAGTTGTAGTTTATGGGTTCTACCCGCTACTGCACACTCACTTTATTAGTTTAAATATGTTCTAACTTCGGTTTTAATTTATTCACACTTTTACATCATTCACACTTTGGTTACGTCACCTTCAGGGCGACAGCCACCATGCCTTGACTCCGGTTGGGGTGTGTCATCTAGCATGCCTACTAAAACAATCTTAATTTCAATTTTAATAAGTCTAATTCAACCCATGAGTTTTGGGCATTTTTTTGATAAATTATTCAATTAATAGACAAAATTTGGAAAAAAAATCATTTTAAAACTATTAAGACATTTAAAATTATAGTGAAGAAAATATATTATTACGGTGCTTCTAAGAAACACTAAAATGACAACCATTTAACCGAACATTGATATTGTTTTTTTACTTGGATGATTTTTCGTAAAAATGATTATTTAGGAAAGACTTAAAAATAAAAGGTTCATATCATTGAAATTCAAGTGGACCTGACAAAGTCTCTATTTTTTAGAAAATAGGAATCACTCACCTCAAGCAACCTGGTCTAAGTAATAATATTATTATGTTATTAGTATTATAGTATAGTAGTATGAGATCTGATTTTCACATAACCATTTTAACCCCAATTCCAACAAAATTAACTTTTAAATTTTATTTCACTTGATTGTAATTGATTCTTATTCAATCCACATAAAAAAAATTAGGGACGAAGCAAAATAAGGTGTATAGCCCAAGGGTGTCCTAAAGTGGCGAAAATATTCAATCAACATTGTATAGCTCAAAAATAAAACTATTCTTTATTTATGATCATCAGATTGAATGAATCAAATGGAAACAACAAACATATTAAAAGAGTGTGTAGAATAGAAAAATGATGTGTGTTTATCATTTTCTTAGCTAGTAGTATCTATCTCCATTTGTAGGTGAGAGATTTCAGATTTGACCCACATTGATGGCGAGTTCGATAACTAATTATTATTAGGGAGTTTTAACGAAAAATCCGCGGTACTATTCACTTTAACGAAAAATTACATTTTCACACTAAAAAGTCAAACATGGTACTGTTCACTTTATCCTTTATTTTGTCATTATCGCTAAAACTCAAAGTTTTCAAGTTTTTTTTCATTAGTTTTATTTTATTATTAATGACCAATTATCTGACTTAAACTTAAAAGCATCAACCCTTAACATAGATTATCATTGTACTAAAAATATTATTATTTAATACATAAATACAAATGTTAGACAACACGAGCATAAAACCTTCTCGATTTGAAACCAAGGATATATATATTTTGGGAGTTGCCAAGAAAAACATCAAATTTATTTGTACTACCTTTGCTTGGAACACCTATTGAGGGTAAAATTGCGTGTGCGTTTGAAAAAATAGCGGCGTCAAAGGTGGTGAGGGCGAGCCCGTGAGCGAGTTGAGTACCAAAAGCCAAAGGGAAAGGAATCGGTGGTGGAATTTGGGAAATACAGCAAAGACCTTGCTTGGGTCAAATATATATGCGCGTTTCTTAAGGGGCAGGTCTCAAGTCTCTCTATTATCTCATCATTCCATGCATGCTTTTGACAACGTGTTGTGGTATTGTGGATGCCATGCACCTTCATATGAAACATCAAAATCAATCATTTTGTGTTTTGCTTTTGGTTACGTAGTGTTAAGGAGATAAATCATCCACATATAACCATTGGCGGATCCAAGATTTGAACATTAGGGGCCTCAGCATTAAAGATCTAAGTTTTTTAAAAGAAACAGAGTGCGAAGTGCATAAAAAAATTTCAGTTTATTCACTGAAACATTTCGTCGAACACTTGTTGGGCTTGTTGCCGTCAACCAAACTATGTTGCACACATGTCAACAGATATCAACATATACCGAAGCACTTTGAGGAGTGTTATCGAGTGTTCTCGATGCAACCTGCTGAGTGATGTCGAGATATGTCTAGATGGTGAGCACAAAAATGATCTATACTAAACATTGTAAGGGTTCTCAAAAGACCTTCAAATGTATATTTTTCAAATCCTAGGTGGTCCTGTGACCACCTTTGTCCCATTGTACATCCCCCACTGCATATAACTACATACGTGCGAAAATCATATTTTTTTTCTTCATTTATAAATGACAGGTCTCAAGTCCGATTGTCATGAATAACAAGTTCATACCTACTTTTAGTGACAGCTCAAATCCTCACATCCAGTGGCGAAGCCACGTGAAGGCGAGGAGTGGCGCCTCGCCGGAAAACACAGCCCCAGCGCAGGTTCAGCCCCTCCCCTCCCCAGGGCCAACCTAGGCCCAATGCAGGCAGGGCGACCGTCCATGGCCCAAAATAATTGGGGGCATCAAAATTATTAGGGTGGTACATTTATATATGTTTTCATAAGAGTATACATTTATAAAATTTGGTTTAATGACAAAGAAATTTAACTAGAAATGATGGTTTTATTGTTTGAAATTAATAAGGAGGTCTTGGGTTCAAATCACCATGTGTGCTTATTTACTTTTCAATTTTTACGAATTTTTGTTTAGTTGTTAATTTATTTTTAATTAGTAGCTAGTAGCTATGTGAGTTGTTATTTTTAAAACATTTATTCCAATTCAAGTCTAATCTTCAACAAACAATAATGCATTGACCAAATTTTTAGACTAAATTTGCAAATCATATGATGTGTCATAAAAAAGTTTAATTTAGTACCCATATATTACTTATACATATCAATTAAAGACTAAAAAACATCATTATTTTTTTAGTCCCATATTGACAAGGTTAGTAAATAAAAAAAAACATCTCACGATTCATACAAAAACACTTTAAAAGTTCAGATGGAAAACAAAACTTATATCTATCTACTTGTAAACCTAGAGTTTTTTTGTTTCCTTTTCACGATACAAAATAAATTAGTTTTTCGGTGTTTCTAAATGATTTAGTTTGAAGTGTTTTTCTAAGTATAATTTTATCGATGCCTTACGTGTGAAAACAAATAATTTCTTATATTAAATGATGGCACATTTTGTGATGTCGCCCCGGGCCTCAAAAATCTTTAGACCGGCCCTGCCCCTCCTAGAAAACACAGCCCCTCTATCCAGGGGCGAAGTTACATAGGCGCAAGGAAAGGCGGTCCTCTCGCCGGAAATGATGCCCAGCAGCAACTTGCTGCCCCCTTTAGATCGTCGGAAAACCTGCAAACCATCCCCTTTCCTTCATGCTGCTGCGCTGCGGATGTCTATTCTTTTGGACCTGGGTTTATGAAAAAGAAACCTTAAGCAGAACGACATCGTTTCGGCGTACTAAAAAAAATAGTGAGAAGCTAAAAATGGCGCTGTGTGATCATTGAAAGTTGAAAAGATAAGGAGACCACCTTCCATTCATCTGTGTCCCCTTCCATTCCAGCTTCAAGCCTTCAAGCCTTAGCCAGCAGCTTCCACCTTCCATTCCAAGGAGCCTCGAAGCCTAGAAGCCAACATCTTCCAAGCCAACTTCCATAGCCACTTTTAATGTAAATATCTAATTTTTTTTATAAATTTAATTATCCCTAATTGATAGTTTAATATAAAATTTTGTTTAATTGATATGAATTGTATGGTTATTGACGAATGAATTGTTGATTATTGATGAAATTAACTGTTGATTATTGATTAATTGAATTGTTGATTCTTGAATAAATTAATTGTTAATTATTAATAAAATTATATAATTATTAATATTAATTAGCTGAATTGTTGGTCGAATTAGTTATTACTTGTAGTAGACTCTATCTAGGATTAAGTGACTTTTTCCTTTCATTATACATTTAGGTAATGGAATGATACTATAAGTTATGGGGAAGTACAATCGATGTTTTATCACCCGTTAGTTTGATAATTTTGAGTGATTGAAGTACAATATAGCAAAAGATGTAGCATTTTGCCGTTATTGCTACTTTTCAAATGTGATTTTGATAAAGCGAGAAATGATGGAAGTGATGGCTTCACTGAGAAACGGTTTACTAATTGGAGGTAAGGATTCGAAAATTTTCGCCCCTTCACCCAACAATTTCTAGCCTTGCCACTGCTCACATCGTTATCATTCTATCAAAATTCACTAGTTGGTGTGTGCTTACCAGGCTACATCTCCCCTTCGACGAAAATCATCTACATACCACTATGATTGATCGTTTTCCACACTGTTTTGATTGTAATTTTGGGTCCAATTTACAAATTATCATCACACGCTTTATCGACAAACGATAACTACCCCTAACGAAATTCATGCAGTCTTGCAAATCAGCTGGAAATAATGCTATTAGGTTCAGAAAGTCGTCGTCGAAAATTCACATTCGAATATATTTAATCAAATTCGTATTAATTTAACGACGTATAAAAGTACATTATTTGTATAAACAACGTATATAAGTAAATAAACATAAATTATATGATAATATTTTATTAATAAAGAGTTGATTGGAACTTATTGCGGCATGTAACTATCATGTTCCGTGCATGCGGGTTTATATATGTGTCTGTGGAGGAGAAGTTTGTCAACCAGCCAGTCCACCGCCGCCGCGGTCAGCTGTTCCATCCCAAGACCTCAAAAACATAGTTAGAATTTGGGAATACACGCGCTTTTTCGAGTCTCACACACACCTATAAGGGTAGGATTTGGATACACAGCTTGACACATGTTTTTTGTGGGGTCATTTTGTTATGTATTTCAACAATCTAACCAATCTTTATATGTTGCCTCAAAGAGTATGTCTAACAAAAATCAATCAATCTGAAGCAAAATATGACCATTTGATTAAATTTAGTGTTTCTTTGTAGAATCATATTCGTTTATTTTCTTCACTACTAATGAATGTCTTAATGGTTTTGGATTTGGTAGATTTTTTCCAAGAATGATCTACAAATAATGTACTAAAATATAAACATTTCAGATCGTTGAAATACATTATAAAATTAGTGCCAAATGTCTATTAAAAGCGTGTCAATATATAAACTATAAATAGGAGTAGGTTACATCACTACCCTTTTTCATTAAATACATACATTCCTATTTAATTCAGTGGGATATTGTACGGTACCAGTACCAAACCTGACACACCCCAACTGAGATCAAGGCATGCTGGCCGTCACGTGAGAGTGACGTAGCCATGTACACAGTGCAAAAGCGATAAAGATAAGAAATATACGAATAATTAAAAATCAAATTACTAGAGTGCACTACTAAACAGAAAGTGATAGGAGTTAGTTACAACAGTGAACACTCCTATTAGAGCATAAAGTCTAAGTGCAGTCCAGTAGGACATGTACTAGTTATACAGTACCAGAAATGTCCTACTATTATTTAGATAAGTCAGAACTGCTGACGTCCTCAAGCCACCAACAGCAAGCTTACTTAAAACCTGGAGAAGCGCAAAACAGAAAACGTGAGTGGGCAAAAACAAATATTTTACAAAATCATTTCATTTATCAAAATACTAACCCCTCGCTGTAAAACATGTATAATTTTTCCCAGAATCAGAATATAAGCATATACATATGTTTGTACCATACTTGACTAATCCCGAAACTACTGAGCACCGGTCAACGTTATACCGTCAAGGACTTAGAAGAGTTTCCCTACAATCAGGAGGCCAATCACAGCGCGACACATGTCGACATCAGAAGCCAATCATAGCGCAACACGTGTCAACATCATAAGCTAATCACAATACGACACGTGTCAATGTCAGAATGAAACTAGAAACTCTCTTCTATAAATAAAGATCATTCTCTCACAATATTTCCTAATGTTATTTGTACTAAATCATTCACTAGTACTCATTAAAGGAGAGCTTGAACCTATGTACTTGTGGAAACCCTTCACAATTAATGAGAACTCCTCTACTCCGTGGACGTAGCCAATCTGGGTGAACCACGTACATCTTGTGTTTGCTTCCCTATCCCTATCCCTTTACATACTTATCCACACTAGTGACCGGAGCAATCTAGCGAAGGTCACAAACTTAACACTTTCTGTTGTACCAAGGTCCTCACTGATTTTGTGCATCAACATTTGGCGCCGTTTGTGGAAACGACACTTATTCCCACTCTATTCAGCTTTGTCAAGCTGGTTTCCACCATTCGTACACTTTCTTTTAACCAGGCATCCCTCTTCAACATGGGGAGCGAAGGAAACCACAACACACAGAATGACACCCCTCTTACACCTAGTGCAAAGCAACGAAAGAAGAAAGGAAAGAGGGTTGCTCATCAAGCTAAAGTTGATGAGCTAGAAGCTCAAAACAACAAGATAGCAATGAAGAATGAGGTCCTCCAGGAGCAGTATGAGAAGCTCTTTAAAACACTCCACGAAACTATGCGTACTCAAACACGCGAGCTTGTTGCCCCTGTGGACATCAACCATCATCTGGGTGCCCCTCAACACGGAGGGTCACCTTCCTTCGACATGGATATCCCTGATGAAGAGCGAGCTAATCATCAAAACATTGATCAACATGAGACTTTTCTCAACCCAGCTGCTTTGACCCGAAGCAGGAGAAGTGGAGGAAGACACCTCCTTGCAGAAGGGTTAGAAGGATCGAAAGCCATTTATCGTGACTGCCGAGACTTCCTAAAGCAAACTCGAGAGAATCCCCTTCACATATGCTCGAAGATCAATAACCCAAGGATTTTTTAAAGACTCAGTCCCCTCTCACGACCCAGGCCAGCTGCCAATCTAGGGTAGGAACGACATGTCCTAGAGGAACATGAAGGTACATGGGACTCTGAGGTATTCCGACAGACTCGCCCTAGAAGTCAGTACGGGGAATCCAGGAAAAAATCACATGCTCTTGATCAAACCTTCATACTTCCAAGAGGAGATGGAGATTTACGAAAGAAAGCTTCAATGGTACATGACTCCACTCAGGACCCTCTTGTCCTACAACTTCTTAAGGAAGTAAACAAGTTGAAGGCTGAACGACAAGCTGAGATACCTGATTGGAACCAACCTAGGCCTGACCCTCTTACAAGAAGGATACTCGACACCCCCCTCCAAGAAAAGACAAAGCAGAAGCTTTGCTTGCAACTCTATACTGGAAATGAGGACCTGATTGAACACCTTAACCTTTTTTAGTCTACCATGGCATACCGGATGCACACCGACGAAGAGCAATGTCTTCTCTTCCCCTCTACCCTCTCTGGTGGAGCGCTAAACTGGTATTGCCGTCTTCCTCATGAGACGGTAGACTTATTTGAGGAATTGAGGAAACTGTTTGTTTCTCAACACATTTTCCAAACCGATCGCTTGCACTCTGCGGATGACTTGTACACTATTCGCCAGAAGCTAGACGAGTCATTACGTATGTATGCTGGCCGCTTCAGCCATGAGTATTCCCGTTGTACCGAGGCAGACGACAAGACTGCCCTCAAAGCCTTCACGGCAGGCTTACGTGACTGTTTCTTCAAGTACATGGCCAATGCCAACACTTGGAAGACTTACTTTGAGGTAATGGCACATGCT